TTTTTCTGTATGTTTTGCTTCACATGTTATATTACATCCTGGTTTGCTTAGCTAGCCGCAGTTAGTTGGGTTCAATCCATTGCTACAGCACGCTGGCTGAGGAATTCTGGGAGTTGAAGTCCACAAGTCATAAAAGGGCCAAGTTTGAAGACCCCTGGCATAAACTGTTTGATATCATAGTGACTGATTTATACAATCTGTTGAAATAAATCATTTCAAATGATTTCAAATAATCCATGTTACTGCAGGTCATGTGATGCTAGTCTGTGTTTCCATTAATCAGTTGGACTGAACTCTAAAGGATCTTCTTGGATTGGCTGTTGGTTTAGGAGTCAAATTGTTGGCTCAAAATTTATTCAATGTATCAACACAGAAGAACAAAGTTAAAAATATAATAGCATATTCTGTTTAGTGAGAATCCAGTAAGGAAAGAGTATGTGTAGAAAGTAATCTTTATAGAGATACATGAAATAGCTTAATTACTGAGTCCTAATCTTGTTTTGCTGCTAAAATTCCATTCTTAAATCCCTGCCAGAAAACTTCTAATGGTTTTAAAAATAGTTTCAGGAAGCGCAGATTAGATTTAGTTCCACCTTCTGTTAGTACTAATTTGATCAAGGATGTAAGTCTGTGTAGCTGCATCAGGTAAACGTGCTGAAATATAGAATAAAACATAAAATATAGAATATATTGTTGGTATTACAAAAAACACAATGCAGTGTTCACTTCCTGCTGCTGAAGCAAAGATAGCAGCTAGAAAATGGGGTTAAATACATACACTAATTTAAAGAACTACTTGCCTTCAGATGTAGTTTCATTTAGCAAAGGTTTTTAATAGGTATTTCCAGTAAAAAGCAGGACAAGAAGCAATGGATGGAAACTAACCAAAGAAAGAAGCAACCTAGAACTAAGGAGAAATTTCCTGACAGAACAATTAACCAGTGGAACAACCTGCCTCCAGAAGCTGTGAATGCTCTAACACTGGAAGTTTTTAAGAAGAGACTAGACATCCATTTATCCAAAATGGTATAGGGTTTCCTGCCTGAGCAGAGGGTTGGACTAGATGACCTCCAAGGTCCTTTCCAACATTATTATTATTATTATTATTATTATTATTACTGCTACTGCTGCTACTACTACTACTACTACTACCACTACTACTACTACTATTATTGGGCTGATTTTTTTTCTAGTCTAAGGCTAAATAAGTAATACAGGTAGTTTTCAACTTATGATCACAACTGAGACCAAAATTTCTATTGCTAGGTAAAAGAGTTAAATGAATTTTGCCCATTTTATGACCTTTCTTGCCACAGTTATTAAGTGAATCACTGCAAATTAGTAACATGGTTGTTAATTGAATCCAGCTCTCCCATTGATTTTGCTTGTCAGAAGGTCGCAATGACCCTGGGACATTGTAACTGTCATAATACATGCTAGTTGTCAAGGGTCCAAATTTTGATCACGTGACCATGGGGAGGGGTGCAACTGTAGTGTGAAAAACTGTCATAAGTCACTTTTTTCAGTAACTTCGAACAGTCACTAAATGAATTGTTGTAAGTCAAGGACTACTTGTATAGCCCAAAAAAGCGAATAATTCACAGTTGTTTTAAAAAGTCTATGAATCTTTACCATGCATGGCTGTTGGAGTTCAAGGTTAAATACCTCATTCTTTGAAGGGTGTTTTTTGTGAATAAGGCTTCTTATGTCACTGCAGAGTATCAGATACTTTAGGATATTTTAATAGAGCTTGGCACCCTCGTGTATGTGCAGCTTCTCTACCAATCACATTTTTCAGGTGCAATGTAAGATACACTTTGGGGGCACACATTTTCAAGCCACAAGTAGCACGGCCCACCATAGTGCTGAGAACTGCCATGAGTGCTTGGGTTAATTTGTAAGATTCAAATTTCATGTCCCAGAATGCCCTAGTCGTGCCATTATTCTGGGGAAGTGTGATTGTGAAAGGTTTAAAATGTTATCTCACACTAAATCTCGTGCTGATTGCAGTTGATAATATAGGTTCTCTGCTGATGCTGGCTTGCCAAAAAGTTCAGCAGGCCAGGAATATATGGTAAATCATGCTGAATAATAAAATACTTGTGTATTCTTTGTGAATAAAAATAGTTGTTCCCTAGACCAGTGATGGCGAACCTATGACACGCGTAGCCATTTGGGGTGACACGCGCAGGATTTCATGCGATTTTATGCAATTCATCCTCGGCTCCTGCACGCCGAGGATGAATGAAATTTTTTTTTTGTTTTCGCCACGGAAGAGAAATCCCCACGGATACCTGGCGGGTCACCAGGTTATGTGGGACTCGAACCCACTAAAACTCTCCCATTATGACTACCACCCCCCTAGAGCAACCATACCACTACAGCCTTGGATCCAGGAAGGATGAAAGAAATACGCTCTGTTCTGGAGGAACGGGGGGCAGGACGTGTGATCTCCCCCACCCACACTCACTCATTCACTGTGTCCTTACCGTAAACTTCAGCCTGCGCCGCCGCCGACTGACAGGCAAGCACAGGCACAGCCCCTTTATCAGTGCAGGGGCTGCTGGTAAGGCGTGCGTGCCGTGCGCACACACTTCATCAGCACGGCTGAGAGTACGTTAGGGAGGACCCCCAGGAGAGGAGCGCAGGAACAGTGCGCGCCTTTCTCCAGTCAGGCCGCAATTAGTGAGTGCCACACAGTAAGGGGGACCTGTGAGCGCAACTATTGGGGTGCCATGGACTTGTAATTGCCCACAATAACTGAGATAAGTGAGGGGGAGGCTGTGTTAGGCTAGTTAACCCCTAATTGGCTAACATGCTATCTATAATTCTATCTGCTGTAACTGGCCCACTGATGGAGCACCCAAAAAATAAAAAAGGTTAAGTAAAGGGAGTGGTAGTCGCAGTGGCCGACCCTTTCAAGAGACGTGGAGCGAGATGTATGGTATTATAGAAAAAAATGGCAGACCATTTTGCGTTCTATGTACTGAAACGGTAGTAAGCAGAACGTGGAATATAAATAGACATTTTGAAACTAATCATTCCCAGCTCTTGGAAAAAAGTGAGGATGAAAGGAAGGAATACATTTCCAGGAAGCTACACTTTATAAGAGCCAATCTAACTCCATCCTTAAATTTATAAAAGGCTGTACAAATTTAACATCTGCAAGTTTGAGCATTGCTCACTCCATAGCTCAGCATGCAAAAGCACTTAATGAGGGAGAATTTATTAAAGAAACTCTCCTAAGATGTGCGCCACTTCTATTTCATGATATGCAGAATAAAGATGCAATTATTAAGAGAATATCTGAGTTACCACTCAGTAGAACTATCATAAAAGACCCAATAATGAGACTGAACACAAACGTACAACATCAATTAAAGAGAGACATAAGGAATTGTAAATATTTTTCCATCTGTCTTGATGAAACTACTGATATCATGTCACATGCTCAGTTGGCCATTATTGGTCGATATTCTGATAGTCACACAATGAGAGAAGAGTTGATAAAGTTAGTATCAGTTCCAACAAGTATATCAGGAAGCGAAATATGTAAGGTTGTTATGCAAACATTCTGCGACCTAAGCATTGATATCTCTAAAGTTGTGTCAGTGACGACGGTGCCCCAAACATGGTGGGGAAAAAAGTTGGATTTGTGAAATTGTTTACAGAAGCTATTGGACATCCGATTGTGCCTTTTCATTGTATTATCCATCAGGAGGCTTTATGTGCCAAGGCAGGATTCACTGACTTAAATGACTTAATGTCAGTTGTTACAAAAATAGTTAATTTAATAGCTGCTCGCCCCCTTCACAAGCGAGAAGGTTGATTCCACCTACAGTGGACTGCTGATGTACAATAATATAAGATGGCTGAGCAGAGGCAAGGTTCTTGAGCGCTTTGTGGAGTGCTTTGAAGAAATTAAGGTATTTCTTGAAGATAAGGATCTGGGAAACTTTCCTCAGCTCAATGATGATAAGTGGGTCAACACCCTGATGTTTTTTACAGAACTCTCTGTTCATGTTAATGAACTGAACTTAAAGTTACAAGGTTTTGGCAAAAGTATTGATGTTATGTTTGGATACATAAAAGCTTTTGAAAGTAAAGTAAAAATTTTCAAGCGAGATGTAGAAACTAAAACGTATAAGTATTTTCCTCGAGTACAAAAGCATTTTGAGAAGGCCAGTGCAGCTGTACAAAATGAAGTGGAACTCTTGCATATGAAGTGCCAGCATGTTTTAGACTCGTTACTTGACCAGTTTACTGATAGATTTAGTCAATTTAGAAGCCTAGAACAGACCATGAGAATAATTAAGTATCCTGATGTAGTAGTCTACAATAGTTTGGAATTAAATGGTTTCCAATGGACGCAAATAGATGATTTGGAGATGCAGCTTGCAGAATTTCAAGACAGCATCTGGGCTCAGGTGTTTGTCGACTTGAGGTCAAAGCTTGAGAATCTGGAAAGGGGCCGCTTGGAGAATCAAGATGAGTGCCACTTTTGGAGTGCCTGGAATCAAGATGAGTGCCACTACGAACAGGAAATTTGGAGTGCCTGGAACAGACTTTTTAGCACCCTGAAAAATATAGCAACAGCTTTACTCACAATTTTTCCTTCTACGTACTTTTGTGAGACCTTATTCTCAGCATTAAATAATATCAAAACCAACAAAAGAAACAGATTGACAGATGAGGTTAGTAGCGCTTGCTTGGGCCTGAAGTGTACAAAATACCAACCTTCAATTGAAGATTTAGCCAATGAAATTCAGCAACAAAAAAGTCACTAATATGCAGGTTAGTTAAAGAATTCACCCTCCCCCTCACTTATCTCAGTTCACGGCACCCCAAACAAGTTCAATAATATCAAGGGCAACATACGAAATCGACAGATTGATGAACAAAGAAGTTACTAAGCAGGTATGTTAAATAATTTGTTTTTGGTTTATTAAATACAATTATATATTGCAATTATACATTTTTGTAGTTTAAACTATAAATTGCGCAAAATTATGTTTTTTTGTCGAAGTGACACACCACGTGAGTTATGCTCGATTTTTTGCCAAATTTTGACACACCACGCCGAAAAGGTTGCCCATCACTGGTCTAGTGTGCCTTCTTGTTTCACCAATCAGATCTCTCTGGAATGTCAATAAGAAGCAAAGTGGAATAGCAAAGACCTCAGTCAGTAGACATCAGAGACATCATTCAGTATAAAGGTTTTGTCTAACAAACACAGGCTACTATTAATTACTTTAACTAAAACAACACCATATCTTGTGGATACAATTTCCCAATTCTAGTAAAAGCAGCAGATAGATAGATAGATAGATAGATAGATAGATAGATAGATAGATAGATAGAGATAGACAGATAGACAGATTGTGTGTGTGTGTGTGTATGTATGTGTGTGTGTGTGTGTGTGTGAGAGAGAGAGAGAGAGAGAGAGAATTGAAATCACATACTGAAAATTTTTCTGCCTCCATAGCAGCCTTTCTCAACATGGTTCCTTTCAATTGTCTACTGCTGTCTGGGGATGATGGATATTGTAGTTCCATCACATCTGGAGGATTGCCATTTAGTAAGGCAACATTTGATCGTATATGACAGATATGAGGAATGAATAGCCTCAGGGGGTGTATTCAAACATGGCACATCTTCCCTTGATATCTACGCCACAATGCAATCTGTTTCTTATTCCACATGTGGACAGGCAGAATGGAAATAACAAAGACATTCTTTTGCTTCACCTTTTAATTCAGCTTTGATAATTTTGTACTTGTAACAGTAGACAACATGAATAAGGATTGGCATGCCTCTGTTGTTAGGGTTCTTTGAGCATTTTTTGTACTGCAAACATTTCTAAACTGAAAAGCACGTTGAAGTTCTATGATTACTCAACATTTGCAATTCTTCAATCATTGCGTTGTAAGTATCCAATCAAAATCTGTACAGAAAAATACAATAGTACAGTATTCATGCAGCTTGTTCCATAAATTTTGGTTAGTGATATGGAGGATTAACTTCAGGTCTCTTTCAGTGCATTGAATTCAAATTGTAGAACACATGAATACATATAAAAATGTGAAAATCTGAAGCACTCTTGCTTAGTGCTGCCTATTACAAGAAGCTGATTTCTCAGCTTCATTGTTCCTATTGAAGGAAGCGGGAAAGACGTAGAAGTGTGCCTTCTCTGTCTAAACTCTGTTCCTCTGTACTGTATACTGTCTATCAAGGGTCAAAAATAGGGCACTTGCCAGCAACACAAACAGCATCCTTGTGTCCTCTGATGACCATTATGCTGTTTCACGCATGTCATAAGAACGTCCACAGGATGATCCATAAGTGACAAGAGAATATTTTAAATTGAGCTCAAGTTAAGTTGAGAACTTTATGTGAAATCTTGTGAGGTTTGGAGACAAAAATCACTGAAACCACACCAGATATGGCAATATTAGAAGAAGGTACCAAGAATAAAAAAAATTGCTGACTTCTGGTGTATACCCTTCCCTATGTATGACTTTGCTTCTGTTATATGCTTCTATCAAATTTAGGACTATAGAATAGACTGGGAAGTAAAGAGAAAAAAATGCAAAAAAGAATAAGTGGAAAAACAATTCTCTAGTTCCTTCATTGGTTAGTTTCAACAACCAGTATGTTGCAGTGGTTAAGATGTGTTAGACTATCACTGGGAAGATTCAGGTTCAAATTTATCCTCAGCCACTGAAGGGCATTGAATGTCAAGCTCTTGAAATCTGGTTAAATACAAAAGCCAGAGGCATCTTTAATTAGATTATTGAAAGGGAAAGTGGATTGGATTATAGAAATCTCAGCAATAGGCTTGGGCAGAGACACAAAATTTCTCTGTCAACTTGTTTTTGTGTTAAAAGGACAGTGTTAATCCTTTTGACTGATAAAATGGACCCTCTCCAGGTAACCAGAACGGAAACTTTCTCAGGCTCTGAACACACAGTTACAATAAATAGCTTTGAGTTTGGCATTTTCTTTCAGCCTAATCTTTCTCAGAGAAAAATAGGGGGAAAATAGGAAGTAGGAAGCACTAATATACTCCAGGTTCTTGAAGAAAAAGTATAGGATATAAAACAACGCAAACAAGTATTATTTTCAAGAAAAGAATGTATTCATGTTGTTGTGGTTCCCATGAGTTCAGTTTAAGGGAAACTTTATTAAAATCATTCAAAAACCTTTTCTTTACTTTTTTTTTTTTAAAAAAAAAAAACTCTAATTGAAATAAATACTTTGGAAAAGTGCATATTAAAGAATTCCCAATTAAATCTAAATTAAATAATTCTATTTCCTTTCAAAAATCACAGCCTAAAGTATGTTTATGAAATTCTCCAGTTTCTTTCTAATTCCAAAATCACTTGGTTTAGAATCAGAAATTGGTAGTTTGAGGACAAATATTCTTATTATATGCACTAATTTATTTAAATAGTTTTATGTACATTATATTATTGTCTGCATCCCTGTAGGATCTAATAGCTCAGAGCATATTTATTAAGAGACTGTCTGGGAATGCATAGCAGATACAAAGAAAATGTATGTTAAGCAGCATAAATGATCCAATGCCTATAGATTGTTTATTGTTTTGCACAAAAGCATGCTATATTAACACATATAAGGAAGCAAGAAGAAACAGATTGTTCAGCTGTACAATTAATTAATGGAATCGGAGAAAATGCTTACCACTAAAATAGTTCGGTGCAAAAGCTCCAGGAGAATACTGTCTCCAGTGCCACCTTCTAAGCCTCAAGTGTCAATGTTCTGATTACTGCAATAAAGACTAATGGACCAATTTGCATTAGAGAAGTAAAATTTGGCAAAGAAGCAGGACATGACTGAAAAGATGAGGTCATGTAGATCCAGGAAATGCTTGCGAAAGATGCTTGAGAAGGGATCTGATGGATACAGGGGTAGGACAATTGGCTTTAAGGATTTTTCTGATCTAGATATGATGGACTTTAACCTTTATAATCACTGACTGTATTAGCTGGAAACTATGACAGTTAAAAACCCATAGATATGAATGTTAGATTGTTGGCAAGAATGGATAAATGGATGGGGAAAGGTTGTTTTATTCTGGATAGAGCAGATAGAGACATCAACATGGCATTTTTAACCAGGAAATAAAAAATATGGGGGATGCCACACATAGCCATTGTGGGAATGGAATGCTGGCTCTGCCAAGGCTTTGATCTTATATATCATGAGTCATATTAAAACAGATAAATCATTATTCTCTCTTATTAGATTTCAGAAAAATAGATGCTTACAACAGTCATTAAAGGACACTTCACCCTTCCATCCACACACAAATACTTACAACATTTCTACTTTTCAGAGCACTTACATTTAATCCATATGTGTATTGTTCATATGTGTCTGTTACTGCCTTGGGACAGCAACTATAGTTCAGTGCTTGTCTCTGTAACACAACCATTAAAATACAAAAAGACCACTAGAGGGCACTTCCCCAAGAGATTTCTTCAAATCAGGAGTTACTAGAAGATTGGAGTGCACATTTTATTGTATTAACTCAGTTGTTATAACTTCTCTTTTCTTTACTGTATAATTTCATATGAGATTCACCCTACCAATAGAATAAATGAGCCTTAGATGACAGACTCTGTGGGAAAGCAATGATGGTTTCCTGTTTTTCCTGAATCTCAGGAGGACAACCATTATTTATTTATTTATTTATGAGACTTATATACCGCTTTAAGTGCAAGCACTCTCTAAGCGGTGTACACCAGTAAGCAATGTATATACATATTTACATTGCCCCCAACAATCTGGGTCCTCATTTTACCTACCTCGGAAGGATGGAAGGCTGAGTCAACCTTGAGCCGGTGAGATTTGAACTGCTGACCTGCTGAACACAGTCAGCTAAAGTGGCCTGCAGTACTGCACTCTAACTGCTGCGCCACCTCGCCAATTATCTTTTGCTGAAGGACAATAGCCAAATAGCAAGTGTGTGTGGGTGTATCTGTCCACATATGCAAAAGAGCATCTCTGTTATGTTTTTTTGTACAAGAAGGATACTATTATCAATCATATATGAATGTGTCTCTATTTTGATGCATGAAATATTGTATTGATTCTCACAATTACAATTTTTACTTAAATACAGATAGTGTTTGACTTATGACCATCACTGAGACCAGAATTTCCATTGCTAACCAAGACAGTTATTAAGTGAGTCATACCTGATTTTATGACCTATTTTCCCACAGTTGTTAAGGAAATCACTGCAGTTAAGTGAAACATGCGGTCGTTAAGCGAATCCAGTTTTCCCCATTGACTTTGCTTGTCAGAAGCCGGTTCGGAAAGTTGCAAATGAAGATCCTTCATGTTGATCACATGACCATGGGAATGCTGCAACAGTCATAAGTGCGAGGACCAGTCATAAGTCACTTATTTCAATGCTGTTATAACTTTGAATGGTCACTAAACAAATGGTTCTGAATTGAGGACTACCTGTACACGATTATGGAGACATACATATAATTTATTTTTCTGTTCCTTTCACGAACATCCATCCATTTGTTCCCTCACAGCAAGCAGTTGCATTTTTTCCCATTAGATGGCACCCTTGTATATATGTTATGCAGTTCATCAGGGAAGGGAGAGAGAAATAGATCTCAATAAACAGGCAACAAGGTACAAATAAATCCCCCTGTTCCTCTAAAGATATATTAAAAGGACACAAATGAAATGCCATGTTTTATAAAACCGTATATATTTATTCCACACATTATCCTCATCATTAATTAACACTGTGAAATCTACCCTTACCCATTATAAATATAGCAAAGATAATTTAAATAAATGTATGATGACATCTTAATTTAGTTTTACAGTGCAGTCTGTGATATGTCTGGCCAGTCATATTGGCATTGGATATAGCTGCTCTAAGAAACTATGCCTTTAAATTTGTTTACTAGGAATATACGCAATGCAATTTTCCAGCATGGTATATTATCTATAAAATTGGTACAGTTAAGAGGCCAAATCTGAAGCCGGAAAGATAACTAAATTCTCAGCCGGCTCCAATCCTACGGATGCTGGAAGTCTTTTCATCAATGTTTACTCTTTGCTCAACTTCTAAATCCCTTCATTTCTTTTAATCAGTCACCCACTTCATGATTTGATGCACAATTTGTGAAGGTCATTTATCCCTCTCTTATAACATGATCTATGTTATAAGATCATAGCTACACACCTGCACACTATTTGTGAATATGAGGAGGTCACTTAAAAATGTTATTATTTTTTTAAAATGAAATGCTGGTCATGCTGTTCTGTGTCATTAGCTTTACAAGGGAAGATGGATTACCAGATTTATTTGTTTAGGCAGTTTTGTTGAGAGTCAAGCAGTAATCTATATCAGGGGCTATCAAGTCTGCCTTTCTCCAAGCCCAATTTTCCAGCAAATGCATCTCTCCTTAAATCTAAAGAGAAGATGAAATCGCTCTCACTCCTAGATTTAACATCTATGCAGGGAGGTGTAACTAATGGACCAGGGCCAAATTCAGCTCCTATGAGTGCCTTTAAATTCAGCCAATGCTACTTCTTCAAGCTATTTAAGTTTATAGTATCTTAACTGGCAACAGTGAAGGTCTTTTGTTCTTCTTCCAAGGCTCACTACTCTGAGCAGGAGTAGAGAAATCTGACGGCTAAATCAAAAGGCACCAAGGATTTTGCTTTCCCAACCAAGTTCTATAATCTGAACGGAGGAAGATGAGATGCCTGATTCTAGCAATTCATCAATAGTTATCATAATAATAAAAATAATAACAATAGTAGATGAGTTGTTGTTGGAAAATTCGAGAAAATAGGATTCCATGAATGCACTGAAGTGCAATGAAAAACAGAGACAATGCTGACAATAAAAATGTATATAACACGTGTACTCACTGATTCTCAAGATTCCTGTCATATAGTCCCATGCAAGTACCAGATTCAAGAATACTTTCTCATAAAAGTTATAAGAATGCCTTTATCCAGTATAAAGGTATAGAAATAGCTTTAGCATTCATCTCTGAAGGCATTCATTCCACTGTACTCTAAAGCTATCTGTTCTGCATCCCTAGCCTTTCAACCACAGTATAGCTATTTTGTGCCATTTCCTACTCAAATCACCCTTGGCTACAGCTTGACTATAATAACCACCAGATCATTCTTCTCTATTCTTTCTCTCTTTTCCAAGCAAGAGTCACAATTTCATTTATTCTAATATAAGTAAACTTTCCATTAAGGGGAGATGCTTACACACTTAACACCTTCACATTATAATACAGTGTTTTAGCCTTTTTAGGAGTTTAGGCCTAGGGCTGAATTTAGTTAAAGTCTAGCTAATAAGTACATCAACACGTTTCTACAGAATCTAATAGTATGGATTGATCAATGTCCACTATTGTAGAAGTACAATGTAGTATGTTCTATAAATAGAATGCACATGTTATACAATGAAGCAACCACATAATTCTGTATTTATTTATTTATTTTTGTCATATTTATGTAGTGTATATCGGAGGTGGTAATCCTTTGAGAGCTGTATGCAATGAAATTTCATTTTAATATATGCCGATTAGTGTACATTCAAAGTGACAATAAAGTTATTATTCTATTCTATTATTCTAACTATGATGAACATTGTCTCTAAAGAATAAGTTTGTAATATTACACAGATTTTTTTTTGAAAAAACAGACAGAAAGGGGAACTATGTAAGATAACTTCAAATGGCAGAGGAATGGTTAAAAATACCCAGGGACCTGTTATAGCATTTTAGTTAAATCAAAACCTATCTTGAAATGACCTTTAAGGATATTGACAATGCAGGACGGATGCACAGAACACCGTCAAACGCCCCTTCTTTTCTTCTTTACCACTGTAGCAAATGTTATTCATGACCACCTGAGTTGTTCTGCTATCTTGCTTCTCTAGGGATTCTGAAATTATTGAGTGCATGTATCTTATGCTTTGCATTGGCAGCTGGACTCAAGACAAAATAATAGCCACAAGCTGAAGAAAAGGATAAATTAAGGATGGAAGGATATCTTTAGAAGTGACAACTGAATTCCTTTGGGAGTTTCAATGCCAAGAATGTATTATACTTGGAGACAAGATTTGTCTTAGCCTGGGCCAATCAAGATAAGATGGGTGCCTTATCTTGCAATCAGTTTTTAATTTTATGAAATTACTGAAGTGGGTAGGGGAAGAGTTACTGTCTAGAAATATGATGATCAGGATATTAAACACAAAAATAAAACTACCAATAATTCTCTTTATTAATATTTTGTCCAGTTCTTTTATCCTACTTCATCTCACAACAGAAATTAATAAAAAGTATGTTTTTTTTAACTTTGGGAGAAAATGACCAGACAATTTCCATGGAAGAATGAATACTGTCCCCATAATATTTATTGTGTACCTTTGACTGTGTTGGTTGCATTATTAGGGGCATACTACTTATTCTTTGATTTTTGTTTTGTTTTTATAAGAGTTGTCAACTAATTCAAGAAGTTATAGTTGATTAATTCAATGAGTTTTAGTCAATTAATTAAACTTGCCTAACAAGCAATAGTTCAGCATAAAACAAATAGTAAAACTGCAAGTCAAAAATATGTAAAACAAGTTCAGAGTTTAGTTGCCTACTGATGACAATTATTCCTCTACAAATGAAGGGCTAGAAAAATATGACAAACATATTATCTTAGAAGGTGTTAGGACAGCTGGCTTAGAATTCATTATATCTGGCACATACCCCAGATGGATCAGGCTGCTATAGCTCCATCTGCTTCAAAGGTAATTCTGAATTGGATGCATGTTAAAGAAAAACATCTTTTATTTGCCATGTTTGCACTGTAATCTTGAGCCACACACTAACACATCTAATTATAGGAGAATTAAGTATAATAATCATGTGCATTTATAGCTGCCTTTATACCATGCATGCATACCATGAGTTACTTACAAAGGGGGATTAATCAGAGATTACTGCAGCTGCCCTTACACTTTATATCTGTAGAATTGACTTGTCTTCTTAAGCCTCATTAAAGAAAAAAAATGTAGTTTTTAACTTGTAGAGAATACGAGAGCAAAATGAATCATTAGGCTACTGTGCTTCTGCAAGAATCAAAGGTAGGAATTCTAGTGGATTTTTTTATTTGTTTGTTAATAGAAAACTTTGATGAATAAGATTAGTGGGGGTGGTGGTGTAAAAGAAACATCAATACCTTCTCAGCCGGACACTCTGTCCTTCTTGTGACATGGATCTTTTTGCCAGGAATTGCTGTCCAGGAAGAATCCCGATGAACGCTTATATTCTAATTTTGTCTCTGTAACTAAGAATCTGTGATTAACTTTGTTTTTATCTCCATCCCCTTACTGCAAATAAAGCAATGGGCAAAGGCTATGGTGTTATCAATCTTTATAAATCTCCATGAAGACTAATTTTACTGCAAAACAATTCATCTACATCCATTAAGATTTTCAAGATTGTTTCCAATGAAATAAACAAAGGCCAAGAAGACTTAATACACAGTACAGATCCTGAAGTTGAAACTCAAGTACTTTGGCCACCTAATGAGAAGAAAGGACTCACTGGAGAAGAGCCTAATGCTGGGAAAGATTGACGGCAATAGAAGAAGGGGACGACAGAGAATAAGGTGGCTGGATGGAGTCACTGAAGCAATAGGCGTGAGCTTAAATGGACTCCAGTAGATTGTAGAGGACAGGAAGGCCCGGAGGAAAGTTGTCCATGGGGTCGCGTTGGGTCAGATACAACTTTGCAACTAACAACAACATATTCCCAATGCAATAATTTAAGTGTCATCTTCAACAACTGTGAATAGCCACGGTTAGAAGGGTTATCATAATTTCTAAATCTTCTACAATTGTATCCTTATTGGTAATATTCTTTTCTCTTTTTCTCCCTTAAAATGTTACTAGCAAATGATTCCCCTACTTAGTTTCTGAATCAGGATATAAGTAAAAGAACAGGAACAAATATTGTAATCCAACTTTTTTCAAAAACACCTAGACAGTTTCATATCTATGCAGAACTGTGATTCTAGTCTTGCCTATATTTCCTGCATTTCATCCCACTGATTTACAAAATAGCTTTCATCTGTTGCCTAATGTTTAATAGTTAGTTTCTGGGAACAGGGAAAAAAAGAATCACTCTTCCAGCAACCTTCTTTCAGATGAATGGAATATGGTTATTCTATTCATAACAACATTCCAAAGCTGAATATTCAGAACCATTTTGATGTTTATTTAACTTGCCCACATTAATGAATAATGCTTTGCAAACTTTCTGGCTGGATATAATGTGTGAAGTGATTCTAGTTTGCATTACCTCATAAGACTT